CAAAAATTCTTGAATATTTACCACATGCCGTGGTGGACGTATATGGCTGTGGTCCACTATCTTTATTAACCTGTCTTCATTAGCTCAAATAGGTTCAGAGAGTAGGATGTAAAACTCCATTTCATTTCATTAGCCCAATTATGTTTCGGTTGGCAGTTCGGATCGTTGGAACTTGGCTTGTTTATTCATTAGCCAAAGTAGGTACAGATTAAATTAAGAATTAAACGTTGGTCTCAGCTAAAAAAAACTCCCGTTTATGAGACTAAGGTATGATTGATGAAAATATGGCCTACCTGTCCCTTTAAGATTTTTCAAATAAAATGTGTCTGATTGTATTTTTCAGTGTTAAAAGGGTTAAATTTTGATTGTATTTTTGTATTTTTCAGTGTTCACCGAAAGGTTTAAAAGTTTTGTCTAGAAGAATCGCGTCTAATCGATGGTTGAGTCAACTTGTAGCTATAATAGTTGTATTTATTGTTTACATTATTCCCTTCTCTTCACTGGTAAGATTATTAGTAGTCTTCTCTTTTCATTGTTTGTTTGAGATGATTTTTCAACTCAGTTTCCCCCTGTTAGTGATGTAGGTAATGGAAAAAATGTCTAGTTGTTCAGATGGGATAATAAACTGAGGCCCCGTTTACTACAGGCTGTACACATAAAACATCCCCCGACAGTTGGAAATCAAGAAGGGCAGGCTAATGTCACTGTCCTGGCAAATTTCCCTCATTGCACACTGCATGACATTGTCTGTCTTCATTAGCCTAATATAGGTGCAGAATTCGTTTGATCTGTGGTTCTTTACAATCCCTTTAACATAATTGCTTAGTTTTAGTGGAATTGCAGGAATCACAGACGTCTGATTGAAAATTAGAATGATGTAAATTGATGCTATCAGTGTCCCTGATACACATAAAAAATTTAGAAAACCTCTTTACAATCTCTTTAACAAGAATCACAGACATCTGATTGAAAATTAGAATGGTGTAAATTGATGCTATCAGTGTCTCTGATACACATAGAAAATATAGAAAACCTCTTTACAATCTCTTTAACAAGAACCACAGACGTCTGATTGAAAATTAGAATGATGTAAATTGATGCTATCAGTGTCCCTGATACACATAAAAAATTTAGAAAACCTCTTTACAATCTCTTTAACAAGAATCACAGACGTCTGAT